AAGAACTGCCAAATAAGAAGTGCTATGTAAAAAAACACAAAACAGATAAATATATAACAATTTAATAATAATAATAATAATAATAATCTCAAAGTTTTTAATAAAAAATTTTAAATAAAGCTGAAATATAATACCACATAACAGACACTAAACTGAAAAAAGTGTAATATATATTAAAAGATAAGTTGTTTGTAAATAAATACATAAAAAATACATAAAAATAAATATATAATAAGATCCACTAAGATGTTTGTAAATATAATAAATAAAATAATAAGACTGTAAGAACTGTGACACAGGAACCACTAAACTGAGAAAAAGAAATATAATAACTGCCAAGTTATAAATAAATAAATAAAATAAAGCTAAATTAACATAATATAATTGACCGTTTGCAAAGAGCTTGATTGACAGATGATCTGACCAATCATAACGCCGAATCGCCATCTTGCCCAACAAACAAATTAGATAGGAGTAGATATTAAAAATTGTGTATTGACGTCTTTCTGCGGTTGAAATAAAATACGTTATGATGTTCATTCATGTTTATTTCATGCTTTAAGTAAATATGAAAAGACGATCGGTTCATGTGCCCCTTGAACTGAGGCAATACAGCGATCTGTTATGACACATTACAGAGACACAAAACAGTATTTATTTTTTGAATTTCTTAAAAAAAAGACAAAATTTTAAAGCAGAGACCTTGTTTTATACCAGACGTAACCTGCTCTGTCTTGCCTGTCGGTTAGTGCTGTCAAACAATTAATCGCGATTAATCGCATCCAAAATAATAGCTTTTGTTTACATAATATATGTTTGTGTACTCTGTATATATTAAACATAAACATAAATATACACACTACACACACATTATGTAAACAAAAACTTTTATTCTGGATGCGATTAATCGCGATGAATCGTTTGACAGCACTAAATATAATATAATAGGCGCTTTCGCACCGGAGGAACCTTTTAATAGTTCCTAGAACTACTGCTGGAAGTTCCCGCTTTTTGCCGTCTTGGCACCGCAGGAACTAGGAATGTATTTAGTTCTAGGAACTCCATTTGGGGGAACCAATTTAGCTCCTACTTCAGAGTAGGGTCAAAAACCGTTCTATAGGAACTAGAGATCGACCGATATATCGATTTACCGATATTTTTCCCGATATTTAAGCATTTTACCATAACCGGATATCGGTTTTGTAATATCGGATTCACCGATAAACGGCGCCATCTTGTGGGCGTTTTGAGAATTGCGCGCAGGATCGCCATTGCAGCGTCTGAGGGGAGACGAGACAACAACAACGGCATGCAGGTACTTGATATAGTTGCTATAGTTAGTAAACTTTATTTAACATAGCCATTTATGCACAAATTAGATGCATTATATAAATGCCTGATATGTAGTTTATGCAGCTTGGCTCTAAGAAATAGAGACCAACTCACGGAGTCACGTA